AGGAAGAGGAGAGCATACCATGTCCCCAACGCCGAGACCACTCACGGGTCGTGCTTCAATGCTCTCAAATGCGGCGTAATACTTGTTGCACTCTTGTTGGATGAACAACCATCTCTTTTGAATCGAGCCGATGCCACGGTTGCTTGTAATTTGGTAGGGCTCAAACATCTTCCTTTCATGGAATGTTTTGTGGACTCTCGTCCAAAAAACAGTGCCCTTTTGTTGCGCGCCGGTCCTCGGATCTTGGCTAATCTCCATCCAAGCTTGGCAAATCAACTTGTCCTCATCTTGTGTATATGAACCCGTGAGAATGCTCTTCCTCTTTTTTTGTGCTTTCGCTCTTTGGGTGAGCTCGTCGATGAACAATGGCTCGCCACAAATATCAACATCATTGTCTTCTTCTTCAACACCATCACCTTCGACATAGATGTCATCGTCTTAATGCCACGAGTCACCATGGTCGTAGTCAGCACGACCGTCGGCCTCTTCATCGGGCACGTACTGGGCACGGTCATCCTGACTTTGGGTCTCCTCGGGGTCGTAGGCACGGGCATGCCCACCCTCGAAGATCACGTCCTCCATGTACTGGTTGTAGAAGGGGTCGTCGACCGTTGGCGTTGGGGCTGGCATTCCGTCAAACAAGACGCGAGGGGCAACATGGTGCCCTTGAATGGTGCCCGTGCCTGCTTTCTTTGCATCTCGACGGACGGCCGGTCGCCGCTGCTGGACCCAGGCGTGACATTGAGGTCGATGATGGTCGCGGGGCGCAGTGTCGACGGCGCGAACAAGCCCACGTCGGGCAACCCCGAGAAACGGGTTTGGCCGTCGTGCCTTGGCAGAGGAAAGCCGGGCGACATGAACGCGGTGCGCGACATCGACGACTGGCAGTGCGTAGGCAGGGCGACCGACGAGCCTGTGCTCGCCGGGCCGACGGTCGCTGCAAGGAACCCGGCCGGATGGCCCATGCCAAGCATGAGGATGTCGTGCGCTTTGTTGACGAGGTCCTCCTTCTCATCGGTCGCGGCCTTATGTCGCGCGGCCTCCAGCTCATCGCGTTGGGCGACGAACTTGGCCCGGCGGCATTGACCTTGACGACCGCTCTCCGTTCCCTCCTCTTCGCCGATTCCGCGTCCAACTTGGCGATCTCCTCCGGCGTGCACTCCGACCGCGGCTTCCTTGGCGCCTTCTTCTTCACCTTCTTCTTCACCTTTGCGGGGCGGGTCGACGGCCAGGCCGCCGGAACTCGGCGGGGCGTCGGCCATGGATGGGGGAGAGAGGGGGCGGCGGGAGGGACGTGGGAGGGTTTAGGGGAAATGGTGCCAAATGGGCGTGGGGGGGGTTAGTTTCTCCCACCGACAGGCGGTCCAGGGAAGGACAAGCGCGCGCGTCCCGCCCGTCCGCGCGCTGCCGTTTCACCCCAAAACCGGCGCAAACTTGGGCCGGGGATGGGTCGAAAGCGGACACAAAGCGGACAAAAGTCCGTTTGCGTCTGCGCGCTGGGTCGTCTCGTTTGTCCCTTTTACCCCAAACGGACAGGCGCAAACATGATAGGGTCGCGCGATGGAGTTGGCCTCATGGGCTCTTGGTGACTAACGTCAACATCCAGATCAAGATGCTGTTTAGAATGATTATATTATTCAAAATCCGGAATGGTGCGGGGTCCGGAAGGGTTTTGGGTGGGCCGAGGATGTCGAAGTCCTACGTGTTTGCTGTTCGGACTCCTGTAAAGCCCCTCACGTTTGTCTCGTGTTTGCCAAAAAAAGTACATCTGAACCGCTCGATAGACCGATACAGGTCGCGTTCGATGGCTTCCGCGGTCCGAACCACGCCGGACGTATGCGGACGGTTCGAGGGTCCGCCTTGAAGATGCCCTTACTATTGATGACATGTGACTTGGTTGGTATTTTAGCGCCACAAACATCGCGGCTAGTAAGTCGCCTTACTTGTTGGTTATATGTGAAAAGATGTTTCATACATGTAAAAATTGTTGCGGACAAACATCCATGATAATCTTGCTTTGAAAACTTAATTACAGCGAGCACATGAATGGAAACATGTCATGATTTGGTGGTAGGAATAAAAGGAAATATACAATGTTTGCCATTTTCTCGGGTGTATGAGTAATTGTTGGGTTTAGTCCCACATCGGTTGTGGGGGGAGACATAACACAATCTATAAAGGCGGGGGTGTTCCCTCCTAACAGGCTAGTCTTTTTGGGGGAGAGGGCCCAACGCATCTCATAAGTCGGTGTTGCTCTCCGGTTGGGCCTGGTGACGCAGGTGGGTCGCAAACGCTGGTGTTAGCGGACCCGAGATTGTGTAACAATAATTACCTCGCGTTAGTCCATTTTGCTGGATGAGCATCAACATAGCCCCAGGACAAAGACAAGGAGGTCGTGACATTGCCTACAGAGGGAGGGCATGGGTTGATGGTGCGGGTACATGAAGGAGGGGTGGGGTAGAGTCATCGACGCCAAAGACAGATGAGGCTTAGAGGGACGCCCGGGGTGGCAGTGACGAGTAAGACAAGGTGGGATAGCGATAGTTGGTTAGGCCAATGCAGGTGCATGGAAGGAAGGAGACAAATAATACACCATCACACATGTGGAGGAATTTAACGGATTCAGATGATTATTTTTTTCTTTTGTTTTGAGGAACATCGATTACAACCTGAAAACACAATGAAGTATAACCTGAAAAACCATCCCACCGCTTCTCCTTTCCCCATCGGAAAAGAATATAAGACATGTATAGAGATGGGAAAAAAGGAAACTACTTATGACTTACTTAAGAAACAACTGTCGTGACCACTTAAACTCACGACTCTCTCGGTATGCCACCCCCGACGCCCTAGGCGATGCCATCCCATCACCCCCCCGCCTTCATCATCCCCATTGCCTGCCAATCCACCAGCCCTACCAGATTCACTGGTGAAATCTCCATGCCTTCCTCCTCCACCTATCTCTTCTCTCCCTCTCTCCGAGCCGCCGGGATCCTCCGCGGGTAAGTTTCAGATATGTCGTCCAAGAGAGAGCGAGAGATCGATGGATGGGTGGCTAGCTGTAAGCGCGTTTTTACACCGTGGTTCCTTGCAGGTCGACGGTAGCAAGTCTGGAGACGCGTATGCTCCTGCGCAGGGCGGCGTCGCCGGCGCGCCTGGGATCCTACATCTCCCAAGGTAAAAAGGCTCCTTTACCTCCCTTTTTATCCCTCCTATTGTGTTGTTCGTTACCTACCATTATACTGGATCTTGTTTCTCTTTGTGAATGGTTATGCAGAGTAATTTTTGCATGTTTTTTTGTGCCATGAGGTTTCCAGGGACACTTAGTATGGCACAAATTGTGTTTATCTCGTACACATGAACATTTTCTCAAATTGGATTGATTTTCCTTCCAAGAATAAACACATTCAACACTATTACATATGTATATTACAATCTGCACATGTTGTGTTGAGGGGAGGAGTTGTTGGTACTGTATTCCATTGCACGAGTTATTTTCAGCGTGTTTGTTTGGGGCAATTAGTATCAGGAAATTGGAATTAGGGGGTTGTAGGACTTAAAGTCCCTTGTTTGTTTGGAGGACACGAAAATTAATGAGGGAAAGGGAAACGGGTTACTGGTCAAACTTCCCCTTATCTCTTCCTTGGTGGGGTGGTAATTGAGGAAGGGAATGGGAAATGAGAGAAAAAAAAGCTGTCGCCATGTACATTACTCCTGCTCCGCATGTCTAAAAATGGAGTACAGATGGTGGGCCCATTTTCTTAGTTAGTTTCCCTATCAAATTCCACGAAAAATTCCTTTCAATCACCAAACAAGGAAAATGGGACTAGAAGTCTATTTCCCACATTCAAACCCCCCAGTCAACTCCCATTGTTAATTCCTTTTCCCCTTCCATAGGACTACCAAACACGTTGTTTATCCACTCAGCACTACCCCGCCACCGCGCTTTGGCCCCCTTACATCGAACGTTTGCAACACATGGGGCATTGTCCTGGCTATGTGAATTAAATAGGTATTTGCTGAATTGCCATGTAAGCTCAGTTGTGCCGATTTTTTCTTGCTATACCATGTGGTGAGCACAATGAAGAAACAAAAGAAAACATTTATGATGATTACTTCACCGCATCTATTGTTTAGTTTAGTAGTATCATATTTCAAGTATTTTAATTATACGTGTGTCTAGAAAGATCCCATATTAAAGTTATCCTTCAGTAAATATATCGTGACTCTGAAGATTGATGAAGTTACAGGTTTTCTCGATCTAATTCCACCACATTACTAACCGTTTGGTGCATTAGCACACGTAAGGAAAAAAATCCAATAAAATCACTAGACATGTCATTCTATGTATACTTCATATTGCTTTTTTCTTCTTTTGTGTACCATTTTCTTTTCCCGCTTTTATCTGTATTTTTACAATCAATGTTTGATCACAGACATTAGTTTTTTTTAGAATCCACACAGACATTAGCTAGTACAATATATACATGGAAGACATTTTTTTGAATTAAAGGAATAATAAATTTCGTCAAAAACTAAAAATCATCAAATGAGTGTCACTTTTCTCCATTTTCTTAGTTTTTTTAGCATAAGAAATGTTTTCTTAGTTTCTTTGGCATAAAAATGTTTTCTTAGTTTTTTGTCGAGAAGAAAAATATTTTCTTACTTTTTTTTGAGAAAAAAATATTTTCTTAGTAGTCTCCAAAAAATGTCTGCTAGAAGATCGGGAGCCCTACTTACTGAAGCCCGTAAAGTTCTCTGACGTTTGTACCCACGAGCCCAAACAAAAAAGGGCTCGGCCCATTTGCACACCGCATCTGTTACCGTTTTCACCCCAGCCGCAGCCTAGATACTCCTCCGCGCCTGGGCAGTTCGCACCGAGCGGGAGGCAGACAGGAACAGTCCAGACTCCAGAGAGCGCCCCCCCTGCACAGAGAGCGAGAGGGAGAGAGAGAGAGAGGGCGGAGCAGTCGCCGGCGGCGGCCAGCAGCGGAGCGGAGATGAAGGAGAGAGGCGGGTCGAGGGCGGCGGTGGACGAGCGGTACGCGCAATGGAAGTCGCTCATCCCCGTCCTCTACGACTGGTTCGCGAACCACAACCTCGTCTGGCCATCCCTCTCCTGCCGGTAATCCCCGCTTCCTGCGACCGCCTCTGTTGCTTCCCATCTCCATTCCCGCAGTTCCGTGGTCGTAGGCGTTGTGTTCGAGCAGATTCATGTGGGGTTAGGGTTTTGCCGTCACGAACGTATCTAGGGTTTTGCCGCCACGAACGTATCTAGGGTTTTGCTCTGTGACAGCGCAGCCTGTGCATGCGGTGTCTCCAGATCTGCGCGTGGTTAGTGCCTGGGCTGCTATGGTGAGCAGGGTGGAAACTTTGGGTTGAGTTATTGCCCTAGGGTTTTGGGTTCTAGGTTTTTTGTGGCATGCGACTATTTGAGACGGGGGTTTGGTGTCTCTGTTCATGTAATGCTTGCCTTAATGAACTGTTTCGATGTGGTGGCTCCTGCCGGTGTCAACTGTTTTATCTTTTCACTATGACTGCTTGCCATCTATAGAGTGAGCACGATTTGATGATATTGCTTCTTGAGCATCGGCTCTGTGGTGCATTCTTAATCACTACCTGGTACTTTGAAGCTAATAATATGACAGATTAGTGGCATTCTGTTTGGAAGCATGCTAGTTCATTTTTGCAGCGTTTTTGACCTAAAATAGTGGGTTCTGCAACTAATTTATTTGCCGATCTGTTGGTTTGATTCGGAACAGGTGGGGTCCTCAGTTTGAGCAGGCTACCTATAAGAATCGTCAGCGCCTTTACCTATCAGAGCAGGTGACCTTCAAAAGTCCTCAGTCTGAGTGCTTCCACAAACAGATATTCAGCATCTGGGACTGGTTATCAGTTTTTGTTACATAATGAGTATATTTTCTTAACCAGATCTAACTATATTATTTTTTTAATCCCGATGGTTTCAGACAGATGGAAGTGTCCCGAATACCCTGGTCATTGCAAACTGTGAAGTTGTGAAGCCACGGGTTGCAGCTGCAGAACACATATCACAGGTTATTCATTGTTCATTGGTTTTCCATCACAATTTCAGTTTGTTAGTGCAGAATAACGTGATTTTTTGAGATTCATGTAAATATATAGATCTGGCCTCTGATTTTTGTGCGTGCGTATAATGGTATAATTATGGTGTTTCCTGCATGCAGTTTTTAGTTAACCTTCTCTGCCAGTTTCTTATGCCTGTATATAATGGTATACTTATGGTGGTTCCTTGTTTTTTTATGTATTGTGGAGTATTCTTGCATTAACTTGCTCGAGAGGGCCTAAACTAGGAATTCTTCATACTGGTCATTAATTGGTTCAGAATAGAGCTGACAAGATGTCTGTTTTATACTGCAGTTCAATGAGGAAGCACGATCACCTTTTGTAAAGAAGTACAAGACTATCATTCACCCTGGAGAGGTAATAATTTGTCCTGTATATTCCTAAGTTGCAACTACTTAGTATATAAGTTATATTCTTTACATGTTGCTTACTCTGTTTCTAATTTTCTGTATCTTGATTATCCTCTTTCTCTTAATTTACACTGGATACTTCATTTTTGAAACTTTATGTTATCTGATCTGTATCTTTCTGTTTTCTAAGATGGTCTTTGTGTTCTTGTGTTTAGCTTGCATGCCTAGCAGTTTACTTGTTCATGCCGCTTTGATTTATGAGTTGAAGTCAGCTGTTGATGCATTCTGACTTTGTTTGTTTATTGTGTATCCAGGTTAACCGAATCAGGGAGCTTCCACAGAACAGTAGGATCATTGCAACTCATACGGACAGTCCAGATGTATGTCCAGGCCTTTATACTGCTACTTAGTTCTTTCGAAAGAGTCGATAATCTCTAAGCATTCCGGTGACATTTTATGAATTTATATGCTTTCTACGTCCCCAAACAGGTGCTTATTTGGGATGTTGAGTCCCAGCCAAATAGACATGCTGTCCTAGGAGCTACTGATTCTCGCCCTGATTTGGTATGTTCTCTTATTTTTAATTCTTAATTTCGTGTCATTTTGAGATGTTGAAAGTTGCATTTCTGCATGATGGGCTGGAAAAATCATATAGGATGTGAACGCCATGGATAGTGATAATATCCCTAATATCCCTGATTTGGTATGTTTTCTTATTTTTTTTCTTAACTTGTGCGACTTCGGGTGGATTCTGAAAAAATCCTAGTAGGATGTCGACAGCATGCATATACACAATTTACTTTACTAGAATGGATCAGTTTTTTGATGTACCATATATGTAAAAATATCGGATGAAAACCACCCTAATGGTGGAAACTCTTGAGGAACAAGTGTAGAAAGTTCTAAAAAACATTCTTATGCATACACCATGTCTAGGTTAGGTATGTTCTGTAGACATGTAAATTTCATGTTTAAACATAATTGCATTTGCCATCTAAATTATTGCATTTGGATTTCTAATTTTGATAAAATAAATAAATAAATTTAGAATAGACAGGGTTTTTTACTGTTCCACTTCTCTTTTCCCCGTTCTCATTTTTAAACATAACTTCCATTTATTTTCACCATAGGAGTGGTTTCCACCGGATATTTTCCCTTCATACATAGTGCTTACTACTGTTGACTTTTGTCAGATTTTAAGAGGGCATCAGGAAAATGCTGAGTTTGCTCTTGCCATGTGTCCAGCAGAACCGTATGTGCTCTCAGGAGGTTAGCAGAATTCTTTCTTGTAATATGCTTGTATCTTCTGACCCTTTTTGATATATTCAAATGTCAAGGCTCAGTTTGTGGTTGCTGAATTTATTTTATATTATGCTGTGGAAAAATAGCCGCAATAGCTGGAACAAGTTGATTAACCAAACGGTAAAACAGGCAAAAACTTTTTAGGAAAGTGGATTTATCATGATCCACTGCAATGTCAGACCCTTTGTATGATCCACTCCACGAATTTTCTCCACTGAAAATTAAATATCTCTTGTTGCTTTAGCGTTCCCTCCGTCCCTCTACATACCCTTTGTATGTTCCTAACAAATAACAAGCCAAGAAATTTAAAGATGTTCTGACTTGATATCACAGTTTACGTTCGTATACTTTTTCTTTGTAATACACGATTGTGTTATTTGTGTCCATGAACCTCAGAACGGATCTTCCGATTCCACTGGAGCATGTGTGAGCCAAGATAGGCCCACTCCTGATTTAGCTGGCAAAGGGAGATGGCATGACAGCATTAACACATAAGCAAAAATGAAGAGAAGAAAGTAGAACTAATCACCAAAGCCGCCAATGTGATAACTAGACCATCTATTTGCTAGCTTGTCTGATCGACCTTACTTGGATCACCTTTAAAGTAATAGGGACCTAAAAGGTTAAAAGTTCTCTTGTCAACTTCAGTGGACCCAATGGAATAAGGGATGCGTCAGTTCCTTTTATTTTATTTGAGTGAGCTGATGTGATAGCTTGAGCTTTGTTCACATGCAAAATGTAAATAGGAAAGGACAAGTCTGTGGTTTGGTGGAGCATTCAAGATCACATATCTGGACTTGGAGACTCCTCAAAAAGTGAGGCTTCCCCAGGGGCATCAGGCAGCAAGCATAGCAAAACTGCAAATGAAAAGGATAGTCCTAAAGTTGATCCTCGAGGTGTATTCCACGGGCATGATAGCACTGTTGAAGATGTCCAGTTCTGCCCTTCGAGGTAAATATACTACACTAAGTTTCTTGTTTTTATGGTTATTTTCTATTTGATTGACATGCTTTTCAATTTACATGAGTAAGAGCTCACTTGAAGTGCTGGTTTGCTGTTTGTTTGTACGTTTGATCTTTATGGTTTTCCTTTTCTTTTTTGAATAAAGTGCACAGGAGTTCTGCAGCGTTGGTGATGATGCTTGTCTTATTCTCTGGGATGCCCGGACTGGTACTAGCCCAGCCGTTAAGGTGACACTCTTCTCTATCTTATGTGTCAACATTGTTTTTTGCAAGAAGCTGTGTATCAAGAGTTGACGCTCACTAAGGAAAGGAAATGATTGGTACTCCCTCCATTCCATATTAAGTGTCGCTGATTTAGTACAACTTTATACAGTGAGTAATTGTCAATGGTGACTCACATTGATTGATTCATTGGAATGGTTGATTTTCTCGTCCAAACCCATCCACCACTGTCTGGCCTTAACATAAAAGCAAGAGTCTTGCTCGCTCTTTGGTGGCGAGGGAACTAAACATGCCCCCTTGACCACCAGCAAGGCGAGTTAAGTGTGGGCAGAGAACTGAACATGCTCTTAGTCACATCAGCTTGATATATTTTGCTGGGTATTATGGTTCTTTTGTCGTTTCATTCTGCTTCTTTTAATGTACTTACATTTTTGTTTAAATTGGCGAACATACATTATCTGCAGTTGAACGAGTTATGAATTTGTGATCATAGAGCAGATTTAGTAGTACTGGGATTACAGTCGACTAGATTTTAGTGCAACCAAAATCTATTTGTCAAGTAAAGAGGCTGAAGTATCTTTTCTTTTTAGTATAATGTACTTCTTTCTTCTAATAAATAAACAATGCATCTTAATTTTGAAATTGTGTTCTTTCTGATGTCCAGGTTGAGAAAGCTCATGGTGGAGATGTTCATTGTGTCGATTGGAATCTTCATGATGTTAACTACATCTTAACTGGGTATGTTGACGTGAATGCCTTCTCAGTTCTGAATAATCTGTGACGAGATCTTTACTTAGTTCAGATGTATTTGATTTTGGGCTTTTCATCTATGTTTGTCAATTGTTTGCACTTTTTTTCTTCATATTTTGTACTCCCTCCGGTCCATATTACTTGTAGCTAAAACTGATGTATCTAGAACTGAAATACATCTAGATACATCCATTTCAGCGACAATTAATTTGGATCGGAGGGACATGAATATCTTCTTAGTTCTGTATAATCTCTGATGAAATCTTTAGTTATTTCAGGTCTATTTGACTTTGTGCTTTCATCTATGTTTGTCAATTGCTTACACATTTAATTATGGTGGTTTCTTCTCATATTTAGCTCTGCTGATAACTCTGTCCGAATGTGGGATCGGCGAAATCTGGGTCCTGGAGGTGCTGGTTCTCCAATTCACAAATTCGAGGGCCATAAAGCTGCTGTCCTTTGTGTTCAGGCATGTACAGAGAATCTTTTGGTCACGTACATGTTCTTTTCATGTGGATATGGACATTTGGTTACTGTCCATGGTATTGCAGTAGCTTTTGTCAATAATTCATACCTTATGCTTTTCAGTGGTCTCCTGACAAAGCATCTGTTTTCGGAAGCTCTGCGGAAGATGGTTTCTTAAATGTGTGGGACCATGAGAAGGTATATACCGTTGGCGATGGGAGTTCACTTTAACATTACTCATTCTCTCTCATGTACTAGTTCTGTATCTTGAGACTGATAAAAGTTCTCGTGGTGTAGGTGGGAAAGAAGAAAAATCCTAATTCACCTGGCGGGCTTTTCTTTCAACACGCAGGTCATAGGTACATTGTTTTTCTACATATCTTACTTCATGTGGTATATGAAACTCAAAATCCGGCTTTTTTCTTGAATGGTTATACCATGTCCATTGGCATATTCTCTGCCATATTGCTGGCAGAATTGAAGAAATGCCTTTGTGTCAGTAGCTAGTTTAGCTAATCTTCTCTTTACAATAGACGGCAGAATTGAAGAAATGCCTTTGTGTATCAGTAGCTAGTTTAGCTAATCTTCTCTTTACAATAGACTTCTACTGGATTTTTTATGAAACTGTATTTTCCGTTAAAATCTGACCAGCAGACTAATTTAGTAAACCTGAGACTTAAATCTAATGATTGGTGTCTAACATGGGCTGATAGATGATTGTGCAGTTGTGGACCTGTACACCATTAATGTTGTAGCTCAGACTTTCTGGCAAAATAAAAATAAGAAGGGAATTGTTATTTTATGCTCTTGAGATCTTATGCACCCGTGATTTTTATGTCTAGTTGTGCATGTAAAAAAAATACAATTTGATTTACTCCTTTACGGGCTTAATGAGGGCTAATGCCATTGGCAACTTTCAAATTGGTCTGGATCTATTCATACTTTGAGAGTCAAAGCTAATTGGATGTGCAGGGACGATAAAACCATGTTATGCCATAAATTGATGTTGCATTTCCATTGTTCCGTAATAATCTGTTGTTTATCTTGTTCACCTTGCTAGGGACAAGATCGTAGATTTCCACTGGAACTCTTCAGATCCTTGGACCATTGTGAGTGTATCTGATGATGGTGAGAGCACTGGTGGAGGTGGAACTTTGCAGGTACTTCTCTTACAATTGCGCAATCATGGTGTAAACACACTACTAGAAAGAACTGACATGCTAGATATTGTATACGGTATATGGTACATACAGTTTTATGCGCTTGTAACTGGAAATACATTACAGTTCGGATAACGTGACTCCCATCTCAAAATAGCTTTGAATATGCATATATGGGCACTGTTATCATCAGGGCCTGTTGGAACGAACAGTTTCAAACCATATGCTGCGTGATGTTTCCTTCTGACCCTATCTTAATAGTACTCCCTCCGTCGCGACACTTATTTTGGGACGGAGGGAGTATATTAATAACATGTACTCCCTCTGTAAAGAAATATGTCGTATAAATGCTCTTATATGTCTTATAATATGGTGTAACAGTTACATTGGTGTTTTCCTTTGCTTCATAACATGCTTGGTGTATTCTTACTGATTTTTTTACTGATCCAGATATGGCGTATGAGTGATTTGATCTACCGCCCAGAGGACGAGGTTGTTTCAGAGCTGGAGACCTTCAAGTCTCACTTGGCCAGCTGCACTCCGAGGGCTTGAATCATGAGATAGTAGTTATCTGTCCATTTGAAACATTGGTCATGTCCTCTGATGCTAGAACAACCTAGACTTGTACCCTTAAGGTGCTTGTGAGCTTATTTAACTTGTTGTATTATTCGAATCTGTATGCTCTGCGAACACAGCGGAGCTTTATTTCTGTAGCCAGACTATTGGGGTATTGGCCTATTGGGAACATTGTACCGGTAGCTTCGAGTGGACCTTATGAGATTGCTTGTAATGAGTGTTTGTGTTTATGACTTGGTCAGTTTTTTTTTGTGAGAAAACTTTTGATATATTCATCTTTATACAGTACAATGGACACCAAATAAAAATTACATCCAGATTCGCAGACCATCTAGCAATGACTAAGTGAGCTGAAGGTGTGCTGCCATCATTGCCCCTTTGTTGATGGTGTTGGGCAAAACTTGTATTCCCTCCTTAAACTAATATAAGACCGTTTAGGTCACTATTTTAATTATCTAAATGCTATTATAATTGTTTACAGAGGTAGTAGGCAGCCCGTCGTGCTAACGTCGCATAGGACCGAAGCATGAGAACATCAACCGCTGTTGAAGAAGAGTAGTGTAGATTGGAAAGATCATACACCCATGCTAGAATCATCACCCGGACGATGACTAGGCGGGGATAACCTTATTCCATCTTCAAGAAGCCGTCTCTGTTTTGTCTTCCTGAGTAGGACACAAAGTCTAACAAGACTTGAAGGAATATCTAAAAATAGAGCCCTCCCGCAGGGAAAGACCAGAATCCACCGTGTCACCATGGCCTTAAAGGCCATTGAAAATGAGGTAGGCCAGTGGTTGTGCCGATGGGTGATAGAGGAACCCTAAGATTTTCTTGGGGGAGAAGGCAACTTATGATGTACTCCCTTCTTCCAGTGTCAAAAAATGTCTTACACTGAGACAGAGAGAGTACTCAATTGTGTAGTTGCTTCCTCTCCTTTTTTCTGAGCCCATATAGTTGCTTCTATCTTGATAATTTTTATTGATCGTGTTGTTGCCTTTTCCTTGATAACGCTTCTTTCATTCTTGGGTTACCCGTCGATGTGCAATTTGAGCTTTGGTCACGTTGACTGTTGCTGAGTTTTTTTCCCGAGGGATTGACTGTTGCTGAGTTGGTATGGGCAGAGGACATTTTGGGCTCCACTACCGTGCAATATTGTCGTAATCAATCTCATATGGTTAACGTGACGGCAAATGTAGTGTCAATTTTAGACAAAAGCAAAATTTAAGCTAATTGATGCTTTTCTGGGGCAAAGCGGGCTGCATGGAGGTGTAGTACACAAAGACTGGTTGTGCATAGCATGCTTCCTCTTATCTTTGTTTTTCACATGAGAGTTAAGAGTATAAATATAAAATAATTCTGAACCGTTGATTGCAGTAGAAATTACCAATCCAACTTCATCATCTCAAATGTAAAAAGAGAGGGAAGAGGGACCATATTAAAATTACTCTTTGGTTTTACGAGACTTTGGATGTTTGGATCGGCCGACCCATTGTTCGTGGACATTTGATGACTTTCGTTGCATGACAAAAGTGACTGGACCGTCTGGTTTCGTACATTTAGTGGCTATGATGATCCATGTTGGAGTTGCCGAAATCCTGGCCTCGTTCTTTCTCCATTTTGGATGTCTATTTGGTAAATTCGTGCTTCGGAATCTTACTAAATAATGGATTGAAATTGAAGGGCATCTGTCTTGTCCATGTTAAAGATGCGCATGTGCATAGGCTGATGGGATCGTCCCAACAGCGCAATTCACGTTAAGCCGCGGTGGATCGAGTCAGATTGACCTGCCGCGGTTCCGATCTGGCCACCAGGGCAGGTCGCGGCACGTGACATGTGCCAAGGCACAATCGGCAAGTGGACTTGATCACTAGCTGGACGGTTTCTCCACGTGGTTCCTTCATCTGAGTAGCTTGTTGCATCGAAATGATAAACCAACACACCTCACGGCACCATTCAAGCTGGTCACGGGGCTATTGTTGTGAGAAGTAAACGAGTTATGCATCTTGATTCTCAGACTCTCCATACACATAATTGAATCAATCGACTCTTTCAAAAATCAAAATAGTCACTCTACACTCTAGCTCTCTTGTTTGGATAGATCGGGAGATGTGGATTGACGAGGTAGAGTGTTCTTTTCTTCTACACCAAGCGCTCAGCTTGGCAAGCCACCAACAAAAATTGCAATCAAGAGTGTTCTTTTTTACGAGCTAGAGTGCCACTATCATTATTTTGTTATATGATGATGAAACGCTAGGGCCGACGCGATGCTCAGTGAGTCAGTGGTGGGTCACAGCGGCTTGCATTGAATTGAGCCCATGGGTCTGGGGATCTCCAACCTGGCACGGTACATGGTCGGCTATGGGTGCACGAGGAGGCGGCACTCTTGTACACACGGTTTCTCCCTCCCCAGCAAGCATTCCCCCGCTCCACCGCCGGGCACCGGCCTCCGCGCGCCGCGTGGCCTCCCCCTTCCTTCTCCTCGTATATTTATCACCGCGCCGAGCAGCCAAGCAGGCAACCGAAACATCATCAGCACACCAACGCACCGACGTCTCCTAGTACCTGGCTTGGCTTAGCTACCTCCGCACCAGTTCGCCCGTCTCCTCACCGATCCTCGCCGCGGCGCGAGCTCGATCGGACAAATGGACGCCCCGGACGTGACGCCGGCGTGGTCTCTGGTCCGCGGCTACTTCTCCCCGGCGACGCTCTTCCTCCTCCTCAACGTCGTCATCGGCACCATCGCGCTCACCTCCCGCTCCCACCGCCGCCGCCACGACCACCACGCCGACGACGACCGCCACCGCCACCAGCACCAGCACAAGGACCACGACGACCGGTACGCTCCTCCCCCGCCTCCGGCCCCGCTGGCGCGCACGTCGTCCGTGATGGAGCGCCTGCGCTCCCTCGGCCTCTACCGCTTCCGCTCCGGCGACTTCCCTCCCGAGTACAACTACAACTCTTCCTCCGCCGGCAACGTCGGCGAGGACGACGACGAGGGCGGCAAGCAGCAGCAGTACAGCAGGAGCCGGTCTGGGCCGGCCGCGAGGAAGCCGGCGAGCAAGACGGGCAACGAGGCGGAGAAGGCGGCCAGGGCGAAGGTGGCGAAGAAGCCGGTAACGGAGACGGAGGTGAGGAGGCTGGAGCGCGCCCCGGTGCCGGCGCCGGCGCGGCTGGTGCAGCGCGCGCCGAGGGCCCCTGCGGCTCGCGCGGTGCTGACGGAGGCGAGGCGGCAGGACGCAGGGGCGCCGGAGGCCGCGTGCGTGGACGAGAGGGCGGACGACTTCATCAACAAGTTCCGGCAGCAGCTGCAGCTGCAGAGGCTCAACTCGCTGCTCAACTACAAGGAGATGCTCAACCGCGGCGCGTAGCCTCCCGCCCGCCCGCCCGCACGCACGGGGAGCAGATGCAGATCAGCTTGTGCGGGGTTCGATCTTCGATTAGCTACTAGCTAGTGGTCTTGCCGTTTGTTCATTGGATTGTTGTGTAGTTGTGCCGTGTATGAGACGCTGCAGGTCAATTTGGATCCTGCTAAAAACATTACAGAAGAAGCTTCCATTTCCTCTCTTAGATCCGTTCGTCCGGTGAATCCAAACAATAGTACGTATAAATGGGAATGGAGGCGTGGGAGAAGAGCAAAGAATCCAACTGCTCCAGCCTGTTTGTGTGATTTCCTACGATGAACACGCCAGCCAATTCGCATATTTCAAAAAGCAAAACGTAAAAAATAGGACATCTTGCAAAAAGGAGCCTGCGTGAGGGACGAAAAGAAGCCCGCTTGTAGTATTTGCCAACTCTTGCATAACTAGGCCAAGATTCCATCCTCCCATGACTGGGAAAAGAAGCCCGCAGTTATTCAGTAGACTTTTTCTTTTACAAAAGCTTTGCCTCATTTCATTAATTGAAAAAAAAGAATTATCCTGTTATTTACGGAAAATCGGACAAAAACCGCCAGAACACAGGAAGGGGCACCACCAGCCGACCTAACTATCGACACAAAACCCACACACGTCGTCAAGGAGTGCCGCCCTTGCGGCCACAACGGCCATCAAACTTTAGGGTCGTCGCTCATGATCCAAAGCGCCGCCTGCGCCATAGATTTGCTGGTTACAAGGTTCCTACACCAAATAAAACTTTTCGCTTGTGCCGCAACAACACTAACAAGGGTGTTAACCTTGATGGCTTTGCTAGTTGTACAAGATATTAAAAGATAGTAATGTGATAGGTAATATTTTTGTAATTTGAGAATAAATAATAGGTGAAAATAAAAGTGCAAGTAAAAGTTACTGGAAGTGTTTCATTAAGCTCAAAATTGGATCGGGGCTTATAGGTCACCTAGTGTAATTCTCTATAAGGTAAATAGTGCATCAAGTAACATAGTCATGTGAATAAAAGAATGAAATATTTCGTGCTCATGCTAGAATGTGTGTAATGTGCTGATCTTATATAGTCATTACGTCCATAATTACATAGAACGAGACCATTCCCGCGTCTATAGCTATTAATTCACTCTTTTTCTCGCAATAAATAAATAAAAAAACAATTCACTCTTTAACTGAGATTCTCTTTGCATCATCCAAGTATTAAGTATAAAATGGACAATTTCCTTAAGCAAGATGACACATTGTTGTTTGCATGCTTTAATTAGAGGCCAGGGCTGAAAATTTGGGGGCCCAGGGCAAAATGTAAACTGGGTCCTTAAGTTCAGGAAATCATATAATTGGAAAAAATATTATAACTCACTTAATTATATACATTTAAATATGTGCTATTCTATACAATATTTAGAAATAGCTCGAATATTAACACTAAAAAGAGTAAATGTGGTACTAAACCTCATGTTCAATCGAAAAACATCTTCCTGCTTTATAAGCAACACAAAAACCATGATTCAAACGCTACATGAGTTCTAAGGTTATCATTTCTCAAGATAAGAAAACAGAAAAGACCGTACCTTCAAAATTTGAAGGAATGAAAATAGTTCTATCAATCCATGTGAAGTATGAAACTCTAACAGCAAAGCACCAATCTATCTGAAGTACATTGGCTAATGCTGCATTTTATTAATTATCAATGTGATCAATTTTTGCACAAAAAATCACAAAACAAAGAGCATATGTATGATAGTGTTACCGGGAGTGTGGACCTTGATTTTTGAAGATCAGAAGATGTAGAACCGTTTTCGTTTCTATACCAAAATTCAGAAATATGCAATCTGAATTCTGAAGCAGACCGGCTTGCAGCATACATATTTTCGACACTCACGTGGCGAAGAGGCTAGGCGAAACAATCGGGATGGGCGAGTACGACGTGCCGCAGGGGAGCCCCTATGGGTGTGTTTGGTAGCATGCATGAAGAGTGTATAGGCCTAAAAGTTCCCTATCCGACCCACTTTTCTCTGTTTGGTAGACTGTATGGGCTCCATCGGGCATTGTCGAACCGATGCTAAAAAGGGCCTCCACATAGCTGAGTCGAAGCACCCCACACAGGCCTGCCGGGTCGAGCGAGGCTGAGACCGCACAGGAGAAAAATCTCCCCCCGACCCACTTTCTCTCGAACGACCACCCTGCCCCTGCCCTCGCGCGACCCGCTCCCCCCTGCCCTCGCGCGACCCCATCTAACCTAGCCGCCAGCGCCCGCCCGCCGTCGACCCCCTCGCGCTACCCCGCCGCCGGGCCCCTCCTTCTTCAACCCCCGGCCGTCGTGTTGAAGGTGTACGTCGCCGCCGCCCTGCCCGTACTCCTGGCCGGTCCTCGACTCGTCGCTGGCCCGCCCCTGCTCCTGGCCGTCCTCAACTCGCCGCCGCCACCGTGCTGAAGGTAGCAGATCCGCCCGTCCCTTCCCTTCCCCCGCCTTCCTCCTCTCTTCCTTCCCCTATCCGTCCTTCCTGCCTCGGCTCCCCACCTTGAACAGGGTAGAGCTCTTGTTGCTGTACAAGGAAGAACAGAGAAGAGATCTTGTTCCTGACTCGGCTCCCCACCTTGAACAGGCTAGAGCTAAAGTGGAATAAGAGAGAATTGCTTATCATGCTTGTCATGCTGACAAAATTGCTTATCATAATTGGAATAGGAATTTATTGAACTATTTATCTCTGTTCATTGCTTGTCATGCTGAAAAATTATGGTGTGCTAAGTTTCCTGTTATTTGTTTGTATTGTCATAGATGGATGAATTGGCAAGAAAACGAAGGCAACTAATTGTGAGAGGAGCCGGTCTAGTGGCTGGATTGTATGCTTACATGATGGTCATGTTTAGAAGATCTAGGCAACAAACACCAAGGATAACCGTGGGCAGCATGGCCGATCGTGCCATATCTAGAGAGTCAAATTTGAGATACATTTATCACTCTAGTGACATAAATTGTTCAAATCAACTTAGAATGAGAAAAGCTCCATTTTTCCGTTTGTGTGCTATATTTAGAGAGAGAACTTTGTTGTTGGATAGCATCCATACTTCTATTGAGGAACAAGTTGCCATGTTTCTTTACGTAGTTGGCCATAACCAAAGGTATAGGACACTACAACCTATCTTTAGAAGATCAATCGAAGTCATTAGTAGGTATTTTAAGGCAGTGCTTTATGCTGTTGGGGAGTTGAGAGATGAGATGATTCGACCTCCCTCCAACCATTGCCATCGTAAAATACAAGAAAGCACCCACTTCAATCCATATTTCTCGCATTCCGTGAGAGCCAGGGAATCCTGCGGGCAACATGGACCAGCCCACACGCGCGCGAGGCCACAACCTTGTTTTCTGTTCTCGTTTTTTCCTTTATTTTTGTAATTTTGTATATACTTTAAAATATTATATATATATATATTACAAAAAACACTACAAAAAACATTTGGAAAATGTTGAATATGTATTTGAAAAATGCTGAATAAGTATTTGAAAAAATTAAATCAAGCATTCGAAAAATGTTGAAAAAATATTAAAAAAATGTTGAATAAGTATTAAAAAATGTAAATCAAGCATTTGAAAAATGTTGAACATGTGTTGAAAAATGTTAATCAAGCACTCGGAAAATGTTCAACAAGGATTTGAAAAAAATGTTGAAAAAGTATTTAAAAATGTTAATCAAGCATTCTAAAAAGGTTGAACAAGTATTTGAAAAATGTTAATCAAGCATTCGAAAAATGTTGAACATGTATTTGAAAAATGTTGAACAAGTATTTGAAAAAAATTAATTAAGCATTCAGAAAATGTTTTGAACAAGTATTTGAAAATATGTTAAACAAGTAGTTGAAAAAAATGTTAATTAAGCATTCGGAAAATATTGAACATGTATTAAAAAATGTTAATCAATCATTCAGAAAATGTTGAATGTGTATAGATTTGTTTTTGATCATGTATTAAAAATGATGAATTATTTGATCATGTATATAAAATGTTAATCAAGAAAATGAGAAAAAAGTTGAACAACTATTTGAAACATGTTAAACAAGCATTTATGAAATGTTAAATGTGTAGAGAAAAAATATTGACCATGTACTAAAAAAGGATGATTTTTTTTATCATGTGTGTAAAAATGGAAATAGAATAAAAACCGAAGAAGAAAAAAACAAAAAGAATAGTAAAAGGCAAAATAAAATAAAGAACAAAGCAAAAGAAAATAAAAAAACAAAGAAACAAAATGCAAAAATGAATGAAAGAAAATAAATAAAAGAAACTAAATAAGACAAAAAAGGAAACATCCCGAAGAAAACCGCCCGAGTGGCGTCAAGTTGGACGCGTCCGAGTTCATACCGCGAAAGGAACCTTCTTTTTTTTATGATTAAGCGTGCATGAATGGGCTGGTCCAATTCGGCGCGAGGGGGAAAAGCTTTAGTTAGAGCTGTTACTTGTCTTGCTTAATTTTGTAATAGTCACGGCGGTGCCGCGGGCGACGTGCTCGTTTCGCTAATTTGTTGGGCTAGTGTTTATTTTTACCTAATTAAGTTGAATCTGGGGGCCTTGTGCGGTTGGCCAGTTTGGCTTGCCCATCGACGAGTGATATGTCCATTTTGCATCATATTTTTATGCTGATATTTATTGCATTATGGACTGTTATTTCATACTATGGTACAATAATTAAACCTTTTCTCTCTTATTTTACAAGATTTACATGAAGAGGGAGAATGCTGGCAGTTGAAATTCTGGACCGGAAAAGAGCAAATCTGAGATACCTATTCTGCACAACTCCATATGTCCTGAAACTTTACGGAGAATTGTTTTGGAATATATAAAAAATATTGGGCGAAGAAACAACAGAAGGGGACCCATCAGGTGGCCACAAGCCTGGGGGCGCGCCCCCTGAGCTTGTGGGCCCCATGGCAAGCCCTCGGTTCCCATCTTCTGCTACATGGAGGGTTTTGACCTATAAAAAATCATAAGG